AGAGAGAGGGGGACAGAGACCCAGAGAGAGGAGGATGGAGACCCAGAGAGGGGAACAGAAACCCATTGGGCACAGATAAAGACACAGGAGGAGAGACATGGACTTGGCTTTGAGTAAAAGGTCCGGAGAAGAAAGCCTAAGGTGCTCCGCACTCACCGAGGCGACCGTAGCCCACCACCCCGACCCTCTGGGGGACCCTGTCGAGGGCCATGCCTGGGATCTGACAGCAGATTCTGAGCTCTGGCTGATGCCTCCCTGCCCACCCCTCTCTCCACGGGAGGCCTGGGCAGCGGTGACCTTTGGACATTTGACCTTTGGGCCTCTCAGGAACCTTCCACTGAGCTGGGGGGTGGGTTTGCTGGGGTGAGGGTGGGTGAGGACACTTCCTGCCCTCTAGAGTGCCTTGAGTATGCTGGTTTGGGACTCAGGAGCCCTGCGTGGCCCCCACTCTATCCGGGCCACCTTCCCTTGCCTTGCACCCTCCTCCCTTCTAGTCGTGGAAAATTTCCTCTGCAGTCCCCCGCCCCCTTCGGGCCGGCCAGGTTGTCATAGAAACTGCATCCTGCTTGAGGTGGGGGTTGAGAGTGCTGGGAGGGAGCGGGAGGAGCCGCGGACAGGGGACTCTGGACGCTCAGCTTGTTCCTCTCTCTGGGTCTCTCCCTCCGCCTTGGCACGAGTGTGCTTCTTGTCCATTAAAAAAAAAAACAAAAAAACCTCAAACCCGTTGCCGCCAAGTAGATTCTGGCTCATGGTGAGCCCTGTGTGGGGATCGTGCACCTCCCCTTGTCTGCCCTGCGGTTCTCTCTAGGTCTCTACCTCGGATCTCTCTTCTCTTTGTCTCTCTTTCTAGCTGTCTCCAGCTCCCTGCCCCCGGCAAGTCTTCTCCTGGCCTGGTCTGCTGCAACTCTGTCCCCAGCCTGGACCTAGTCTGCCTCTTCTCCGCACCCTGCCTGGCTGGTCCTCAGGTGGCCTCAGCCCGGCCAGCTCCGCCGTCTCCCCAGCTTGTCTTAGCCATGCCCCTGCCTCAGTGGGCACCAGTCCTGCCCCGCCCCCTCCCCCGCATACCCCGCCCCCCGTCTTCCCCAGAACCTCCCTCCTTCTTCTCATTGTCCTTCAGTTCACCTTGACTTTTCACCTTTCACTCTCCCCTCCCCTTCCAAGATGCCACCAGCCACCCTACCCCCAGGTTACAGCCTCACCTCCATGCCCTTCCCTCCCCCCACCTGCCAGGGGCCAAGGAGAAGGTCCGAAGCCCGGGAGTTCCTGAGTGCTCGCCACAACGCGCCCTGCCCGGCCACTGCGCCTCTCAGTTGCCTGGCACGGAAATGGCGGAGGCTGCGGCAGCCCCGCGCCCTGCCCCCAACCGCCACCTGGTACCCGCTGCAGCGTTTCCATGGCAACCAGGATCCGCGCTCAAAGGGACCGAGAGGGAAAGAGAGCATGAAAGGGAGGCTAGGGGGCGGGGGGGCGCTCAGAGTCCCAAGTTGACAGGCAGCAGTGGCGGAAGCAGATAGTCCCGGACTGATAGGGCCCGAGACCCCAGACACCTCGCCGCCACGGGAGGCTGGCGGGGGCTGATAAGGGGAGATCGTGCTGTAAGAGCCCCAGTGGGGCGAGACAAGATGCTATGGGGGCAGGAACAGCCAGGGAAGAGGTGCGGGCGTGAGGACAGTGTCAGGGCTCCCCAGTTAGACGGGGCCCTTCCTGCCCACCTGCCCCCCCCCCCCCACGGTCGTCACTTGGCCTGGGCTGGTGTCCAGCAGTGTCTGCCCAGGCGAGGGGAGCAAGAGGGCCTGGAAGGGGTGCCTCCCTCTCGTGGGACACAGCTGTCAGGCTCTCGCGGGCTCTGGTCGCCCCTCTGTCCTCACCTGCCTCTCTAGTCAGGCAGCTCTCCCTCCCTCTCTTTCACTGTGTTGAGACGCGGGTACCTCGGTCTCCCCTAGACATCACACACTGCCTCCACCCAGCAGCTGCCTCTGGCAGAGGGCTCTGTCCCGTCTAGGCTGCAGTGTCCTCTCTCCCTGTCCCCTCTGCTCCCCAGGCCTGGACCCAGTCTCTCCTGCCTCTTCACTAAAAAATAAGGCACAAACGCAGTTTCCCTCATGCTCCTCGGGCCTCTGCTGCAGCCGGTGCACTCCCCCCATCCCCCCACAATTACGCCTTCTTCTGCCTCCACACCACCCTCTTTCTACCACAGCAGTGTCTTGAGTGGCTTTGGGGTCGAGGCCAGCACGCCCTGGTTCAAGGCCCCCTCAGTTTCCTCTGCGGTGAAGTGAAAACCGAAATAATCTAACCTGCTGCTGGGGAGTGATTCCGACTCATAGCAACCCATGTGTTACAACCCATGTGTTACAGAGCAGAATTGCTCCAGAGCGTTTTCTTGCTTGTAATGTTTACAAAGCCTTGGTGGCACAGTGGTTAAGCACTTGGCTGCTAACCAAAAGGTTGACAGTTTGAACCCATCAGGGGCTCTGAGGGAGAAAAGACCTGGCGATCTGCTCCTGTAAAGATTACAGGCTAGGAAACCCTATGGAGCAGTTCTACTCTGTCCTATAGGGTCGATACGAGTCGGAATTGATGGCACCCAACAACAATCTTTATGGAATCTGACCACCAGGCCTTTCTTCTGCAGCACAACTGGCTGGGTTGGAACAGCCAACTTTTCGGTTAGTAGCTGAGTGCAAACCATTTGAGCCACCCAGGGACATTTGTGAAGTGAGGGGGACACTAACTACCAGTGTTGCATGTGTTGGGGGAATGAGACCACTCTGGAGCTTCAGGTCCCTCCTGGACCCATGGACAGGGTGAAGAGGACTTCTTGACCCGGGGGTGGGTACCAATCCTACCCACCTTCCAGATGATGCTCCCTAGAACACTTGAAGTTTTCTGGCCTCTCACCTCAACCCCACCCCACCTTCATTTTGTTTTCCCTCTCTTCCGTGTTTTCATAACCCAAAAAAATATATATTTTTTACTTTTTCCATTTTTTTTTTAAAGTAATTACAGAGCAGGTAGTCGTTGACGCAAACCTCCCTTCAGTATCAAAAGAGTCTGTGGGGCGGCTTAGGGCAGGGGGGAGGGGGACGGGGTGGGGCTGCCCCCCCCAGCCAAGGGGGGCAGGGCCGGAGTGGAGCTTAGCGCTGGGGGACGGGGATCAGGGTGTTGGGGAGGCTCGGACGACGCGTTCTGTCTCTTCAGTTTCCAGGGCGGGGGGTGGGGGGGGGAGGGACAGGCGTCAAACTGCAAAAAAATGAACCGTAAAAGGAGGGTGGTTGGGGGGGCGAGGGGATAGGACACCCCCCCAAAAGCTCCTCTCTCCCCTGGAAGAAGGCGGAGGGCCGGGCAGGGTGGTGGGGAGAGCAAGGAGAAAAAACCCAGGGTTCTGGCCCTTCTCCTGAATCCTCAGTCACCGGGGACGCGCGGCTAGAAGGCCCACGGAGAACCCATTCCTGGAGGCGGCCCTGTCCTCGCCGCCCGGCCGCTAGGTGGAGTCCAGGAGCAGCTGGGGCTCACAGCCCGCCTTTCCCCACCTCCCCCACGGGTCCGGGAGGGCGGTTGGGGGACATGGAAGGGGTCCAGAGTCTGGCCCGTCCCCCGTGGCTGGGCGCAAGGCCCCTCGCGCCCGGCTTCAGATCTGCGTCTCTTGCACGTTCTCCTTGGAGCCGCTCTTGAACAGCAAAGGTTCGTGGATGGAGTTGAGGCCCGGCGGCCCCTTTCCCCCGCAGCCCCCGCCCCCGGGGTTGCTGCTGTAGTGCGCCTTGAAGGCGGCCGCCACGTAGTGGTGGTGGTTGAGGTGGTCGCGCTCCAGGGCGGGCAAGGCCAGGTGACTGTCCCCGCCCACACCGCCCCCGCCCGCCACAGCGGCGGCGGTGGCCACTGACACGGCCGAGGCGGCCGGCAGCTCGTCCTCCACGTTGATGATCTCCACGGTGCGCGTGGGACCGTGGTGCTTGTGGAGCTGGTGCTGCTTGCGCAGCTTGTAGAAGGCCACGAGCATCACGGCGGCCATGAAGGTGATGGCCACGAAGCAGCCGATGATGATCTTGGTGGTCTTCATGACGTCGTCCAGGTCCTTGAGGGCGTTTTCCGTCACGTCCGTGATGGGCACCGTGAACGCCTTCTCCGTGGGCCGCGAGGAGCGCGGCGCAGGCGCCGTGGTGGACGAGGCGGCACCGCCCCCTGCGTCCCCAGGCCGGCCCCCGCCCCACGCGCCGTCGGTTGTGGGCCCCGGCGGCTCCTTCTCCGTTCCGCGCGGCTGCAGCGACTCCTCGCCGGGCTGCGTCTCCAGGGTCTCCACGGTGACCGTGGTGAAGTAGGTGTAGCCGCCGCCGCCCCCGGGGCCTCCCCCCGCGCCGCCGCCCGCCGCCACGGGGTCCACGGCCGAGACATTGAGCGTGGCCGAGGCAGTGGTGTTGCCGGCTGAGTTCGTCACCATGCACGTGTACTGGCCTGTGTCCTGCACGGTGACGTTGGTGAAGTTGAGCGTGCCGTCGTGCAGCACCGAGATGCGCACGCGGTATGAGCCGTGCGTCATGAGCGTGCCGTTGGGCGTCAGCCAGTTGACGGAGGTCATAGAGGTGCCCGTGCGGCACTTGAGCTCGGCCGCCATGCCCTCGGTCACGTTCAGGTCCGTGGGCGGCTCCACGATGACCGGTGCGTAGCACGTGAAGTGCGACTGGTCCAGTTCGCCGATGTAGCGCCCCTTGAGGCCGGCGGGCGCGTGGCAGCGCGCGCAGCACGTAGTGTTGCTGGGCACAGTCTCCTTGAGCCACCAGCTCAGCCAGAGCACGTCGCAGTTACAGTGCCAGGGGTTGTGGTTGAGGTGCACGCGCTCAAGGCGGTGCAGGGGTGTGAAGAGGTCGTGGGGCAGCGACATCAGGTTGTTGTGCGACAGGTTGAGCTCCTCCAGCGACTTGAGGTCATCGAAGGCATTGCGCTCGATGGTGGCCACCTGGGCGTGCATCAGCCACAGCTTTCGAAGGCTGGTGAGGCCCTGGAAGGACCCTGGGCGGATCAGGTCCAGCCGGTTGCCAGACAGCTCGAGCTCCTCTAGGCGCACCAGGGCTGTCAGGTTGGGGATGTCCTTGAGGTTGCACATGCCCAGGTTGAGGTAGCGCAGGTTGACCAGGCCCTCGAAGGCCGCCTCCGAGATGTACTCCAACCGCTTCAGCTCACCCAGGTCGAGGCGCCGCAGCGAGGGCACGCGGTTGAAGGCGTACGAGGGGATGCTCTCGATGGGGTTGTTGCGCAGCCAGAGCTCGCGAAGCTTGGACAGGTACTCGAAGGCCTGCGTGGGCACCGTCGTCAGCTTGTTGTCGAACAGCTCCAGTGTGTTGAGGCTTGGCAGCCCGTTGAAGGCACCCACCTCTATCTTACGAACCAGGTTCTTGCTCAGCTGCAGGATTTCTAGGTGCCGAAGGTGTTTGAATGTGTCTGTCCGGATCACCTGGGGGGAGGGAGGGACACTGATCAGTACTGCTAATGCTGATAATAAGAATATCGACAAGTGTTGGTGAGGGTGCAGAGAAACTGGATCACTCACACTCTGCTGGTGGGGATAAATGACAGTACATCAGGCATAGAGTTGCCATATAACTTGACCATTCCACTCCTAGGTATTGACCAAAGAGATGTGAAAGTTATATGTCCATCTTTACTGTGGAACTGCAGCCCTAAGTGCAAACAACCCAAATGTCCATCAGCGAGGAAATGGACGAACAATCTGAGGTACCTCCATACAGTGGAATGAAAAGGAATGAACTATTGGTACACTCAGTAGTCACAACAATGGACTCAAACATACCAACAATCATACAATCATGAAGATGGCTCAGGGCTGGGCATCATTTTGTTCTGTTACACATAAGGCCACCACGAGTTGGAGACAGGTGGATGGCAACTGACAACAACAAGAACACTGATACATTCAATCTCATGGACATTATGTTGAGCAAAAGAAGCCAGGTACAAAAGACTACCTGTTATAGGATTCCATTCATAAGGGATTAGAACACCAGAGCAACTTGTTGCCTCTGAGTGTGTGTGGGATGCGCGAGGAAGACTGGGAAGGGGCATGAGGACACTTTCTGGAGTGATGGAAATGTTCTCTACTGGGATGGTGGTTACATGGCTATATGCAATCATCCAAATCCCCAAACTGTCCACTTAAAATGGGTGCACTTTATTATATGTAAATTAAGCCTCAATACAAAAGATGAAGACTAGCAATCCTAACAGCTAACATACTGAGCACTGTCTCAGTGCCAGACACAGTCCTGAGTGCTTTATGGGTCATAACTCCCTGCGAGATGGATATTATTACAAGTCCTTATTCAATCCCTGCTATCCTGAAATCCATAAAGCTCTGCAAACCAGAAGATTCCTCCTCACTTTGGCACCAATCCCATTTGGTGGCAAAACCTGATCAGAACTCCTGTGAAGCTATTTAAAGCATTTATTGATCCCACTCATGTGACTATTCAAGCATTTCATTCTAGAAATATTCCCACATTTGATTAGGGTGTAAGACCCTCTGGGGTGTTACGAACTATATGGTACATATAACCTTTGTAATATCAAAATCCACCATCTGTCTGTCAGTTTGTCGTACTGTGGTGGCTTGCATGTTGCTGTGATGCTGGAAGCTATGCCACCAGTATTTCAAATACCAGCAGGGTCATCCATGATGGACAGGTTTCAGTGGAGCTTCTAGACTCAGACTAGGAAGAAAGGCCTGGCGATCTACTTCCAGAAATCAGCCAATGAAAATCAGCCTATGGATCACAACAGAACATTGTCCAGTAGAGTGCTGGAAGATGAGCCCTCTAGGTTGGAAGGCAGTCAAAATACACAGTGGCTGCAGCAATGCACCTGAGTGTACCAGTGATGGTGAAGATGGCGCAGGACTGATCAGCGTTTTGTCCTGTTGAACATGGGGTCGCCACGAGTGGGAGATGACTCGACAGCAACTAACAACAACAACTGATGGGGAAAGTTAGGCTCAGAGAGCCAAAGTCACTTGTTCAAGTCTACAGGGCAAGTAACTGGCTTTGAACCTAGCTCTATTTCCTTAGAGAGCTAATGCTTTTAATCACACAATGTTCTGTTCTGTTATACATGGGGTCACCATGAGTTGGCGCCAACTCAATGGCAACCAACAACAGCAACAACATCAACATCAGAATGCCAAGCACACCTGGCCTCAAGTGTCTCACAGGAGGGATTATGAATAATCTCCATCTTAGTGTGAGGAAACTGAGACACAGAGAGGTGCAGTGACTTGCCCAAGCTCACACAGCGGGGGAGAAGCGGGGAGACTTGGGATTTGGACTCAGGCTGTATAGAGTCAAGGCTCTGAACTCCTGAACTTGTGGCTGGGGCTGGAAGACCCCAGAAGGGACATTGCTGGACCTGGGAGGGGTGTGGGAAGCAGGATTTTATAGGCTCTTCCTCTTGTGATGACCATGCCTATCAAACTGGGCGCAGAAGGCCACGCAGCCATCAGCTCGTATTTTTGAAGCCTAGTTAATGACACGGGAATTCTTAGGCTACAATACCCATTGCCGTGGAGTGGATTCCAACTCATAGCGGTCCTAGAGGACAGAGTAGAACTGCCCCATAGGGTTTTCAGGGCTGTAAATCTTTATGGAAGCAGACTGCCACATCTTTCTCCCACAGAGCAGCTGGTGGGTTCAAGCTGTCCACTTTTTGGTTAGCAGCCAAGCACTTAATCACTGCTACAATACTGAGGGGGAAATGGAGAACTCCAAACAGCATACAGTGTGATCGCAACTTCACGAAAATAACAAAGATGATGAAGAGCTGGGTATCCGTGTATATACACCAAAAAACAAACAAAAAAACAAACAAAAAAAAAAACTGGAAGGAAATATTCCAAGACTTAGTAGTAAACTCCAAGGGTTGAGGATTGTGGGCAATTTTTATTCTTTTGTTATTTTTTTCTTTGATGGACAGAAATTACGTTTATAAGAAGCAGGGACAAAAACAACTTAGAAAGTTTTTTAAAAAGACTATACTTAAACAGAACAACCAGAACGGAAATACTGAGAATGTTCACACATTGTGAAGAATGTAACCAATGTCACTGAACAACTTGTGTAGAAATGGTTGAATGGGAACCTAAACTGCTGTGTAAACCTTCACTGAAAACACGATAAAATATTATTTTTTTTAAAAAAAGACTGTACCTGACAATGTCACTGAATTTTGCATGTAGAACTGGAATTGGTGTATGTTTTTGCTGTGTATATTCTCAACAACAACAACAACACAATAAAATAAATTATTAAAAAAAAAAAAGACTATACTTGATGCACACCAGTGTTCACTGCAGCACTTTTCACAATCGCCTAAAGGTGGCAACAACCCAAGTGTCTATCAGCTGATGATGGATACACAAAATGTGTTCTATACACCCAACGGAATACCACTCAGCCATAAAGAGCAATGAAGTCCTGATGCCTCCCACGACGTGGATGAACCTTGAAAACATTACGCTGAGCGAAAGAAGCCAGTCACAAAAGGACAGATATTCTATGATCTCACTTAAATGAAATCTCTAGAATAGGCAAGTGTATAAAGACCACAGTTCATTAGTGATTACCAAGGGCGGGTGGAAGGAGCCCTGGTGGCACAGTGGTTATACACTTGGCTGCTAACCAAATGGTCAGCGGTTCAAACCCACCACCTACTCCATGGGAGAAAGATCTGGCAGTCTGCTTCCATAAATATTACAGGCTCGGAAACCCTATGGGGCAGTTCTGCTCGGTCCTATAGGGTCACTATGAGTCGGAATTGACTCGATGGCAATGGGATAGGGTCGGGTGGGAGGGGGAAAGGGGACTCATTGCTTAGGGGGCACTGAACTTCTGTTAAAACTCAAACCAAACCCACTGCCATTGAGTCGATTCCGACTCATAGTCACCTTATAGGACAAAGTAGAACTGCCTCATAGGGTTTCCAAGGAGCGCCTGGAGGATTTGAACTGCCAGCCTTTTGGTTAGCAGTCATAGCTCTTAACCACTGTGCCACCAGCGTTTCCAACTTCTGTTAAGGGTGATGGAAAAACTTAGAAATGGATAGTGGTGATAGTCGAACAACATGATGAGCATAATGTCACTGAATGGTACACGTGAAGACTGTTGAAATGGCAAACGTTTTGTTAAATATACATTTACCACACACACAAAAAACAGGATGGACTGATGAGAGGAGGGCGGGGTGGCGAGATGGAGAGGTATGTGGTAAAGCAAATAGAGCAAAATGTTAATTCTAGGGCCTATGCCGTGTGTATGCGTGCATTCACGGTACAATTCCTCCAATTTTTCTGCACGTTTGAAAATTTTCATAATAAAATGTTGGGGGAGATGGTGGAAAATATATCAGTAAACTAACATACATCTAAAAAAGAGTGGAAGAGGGAGGCGGGAGAGTTGTAGAAAGAGATGTGACAATGGAAACAGCGTCAGAGAGAGGCCACGCTGCTGGCTTTGGTGACAGAGGAGGGGAACCACAAGCCAAGGAATGCAGGCGGCCTCTGGAAGCTGGAAAAGGCAAGGGAACAGATTCTCTCTTAGAGCCCCCACAAAAGAATGCAGCCCTGTCAACACCTCAGTTTTACCCAGTGAGCTACAGAACGGTAAGATAATAAATTTGTTTTGTTTTAAACCAAAGAAAAAGGCGATACCTGAGAGGCACCCAGCAGAAGGAACAGTAATATTCTTAGCCCAGTAATAATCATAAAATAATAACAACTGTTATTGATACCAGCGTTGTCCAATAGAAATATCACCTGAGCCAAGTAGGTAATCTTAAAATTTCTAGTAGCCATATTAAAACAAAACACCAGGTGAAATCAATTTTAATAATTTATTTAGTCCTATGTATACAAAATATTTTATCAACATGTAATCAAAATAAAAAATTATTAGTGAGCTATTTTACAATCTTTTTCATACTAAGTCTTCAAATTCCAGTGGGTGCATGTTTTACGCCCACAGTGCTTCTCCACTAGGACTCACTGCAGCTCAAGTTCTCAGCAGCCATGTGCGGGGAGCGGCTGCCTGTGGGACTGCTCGCGTTTATATACAGTGCTTTCTCGCGCCTCCTTTATGAACACAGTTGCATCTTATCCTCCCAGCAGCCCTCCGGAGAAGGGACTACTATTGCCCCATTTTCAAGAGGAGGAAGCGGAGGCCCCCAGAGAGTGTGACACGGGCAAGTCCTGTGGCAGAGCTGGTCCCAGAGCATCGCTGTTCCCATTTGACAGATGGGGACACTGAGGCTGTGGAGGTGGCACATCCGACGGGAGCAGCCTTCAGAGTCATCTCCTGCTCGCAGGCTGCAGTTCTGTCACTTGAAGGGCAGATGGTGAAAGCTACTTCAGGAAGATGAAAAGGGGTTGAGGTGGCCGGCGCTCAGTGCAGT